AGAGCAAATGGCAAGAGCATTTCAAACGCATTCCACAAGTGAAATCTTACTCGGTGTTGATGGTTGGCACGACACTGCTGGTTCTGCAACAGTGAAATGGAAAGTTTTGTAGTAAGTGGGTAGGACATGAAAAAAGCAACAATAAGATAATCGAAAAACACGGAAAATCGCGAAACCGCTATCACTCTTGACCCAATTTTACTCGGACACATCCGGAGACGAACGTTCGTCCATCAGACAAAGGTAACACGTGGAAAAGAGGAAATAGCGAGAGTATTTTAAACGGGGATTCCATAAGTGAAGTCTTACTCGGTGTTGGTGGCTGTCGCAGCTCCGCTGCTTCTGCAACATTGAAATACAAATTCGTGTAGAAGCGGATTGGACATGGAAAAGTGAAAATAGCTCGGATCGACGAAAATGGAAAACCATGTCAGCCCTGTTAATGCGGCCCGGACTGACTAGGAAAAGAAATAGCCAGAGCATTTCAAACAGGGACTGGAACGTGAAATCATACTCGATGTTGATGGTTGGCACGGTACTAATGGTCCTGAAACATTGCAATGGAAATTTTTGCAGATAAAATTTGAAAAAGTGAGAATAACCTGAATTGCGAAGAAACGGTAAACCACGAAAACCTTTTCGCTCTGCACCCTAATCGGCTGGAACACAATCGGGTCAACCAACCATCAATTTGACAAAGACGACACGTGGAGCGGAGTAAATAGCGAGAGCATTCCAAAGACCCATTCCACATGTTAAACCTTACTCAATGTTGATGGTTGTCCCGACACTGCTAATTCTGCAACATTGTCATTGAAGTTACGTAATAAGTAGACAGGGCATGAAACCGTGAAAATACCTCGAGTCGTCAGAAAGAGAAAAACCACGAGAATCCTACCACTCTGCATCCCAACTGAGTCCAACAGATGAGATCAAGCATTTAGGCATTAGACACAGACAACACGTAGAGCAGAGGAAATGGCGAGAGCACTTTAAATAGGGAATCCACAAGTGAAATCTTACTCGGTGTTAAGGGGTGACTCGGTTCTGCAATATTGAAATGGAAGACTTTGAAGTAAGAAGAGAGGACGTTAAAAAATCAGGAATAACCTGAACTGCCATAAAACGAAAAACCAAGAGAACTTCATCACTCTGAACTACAACTGACCCTGACACGAAATGATACAATCAATCGTCAACAAGACAGAGACAACTGGTGGAGTAAAGGGAATAGCGGGAGCACAATAGGCAGGGATTCCACAAGTAAGTCCACAAGTCAGATCTTACGTGGTCTTGATGGTTGTCCCAGCCCCGCTGCTTCTGCAACATTGAAACGGGAAGAAATGAGGTAAGTGGTTAGAACTTTAAGGGGGGAGATTATCCTCAATGGCCAAAAACGGAAAACCACACAAACTCTGTCAATACACATCTAGCTGAATCAAACAAATACGATCAAGCAACATGTGGAGGAAGGGAAATAACAAGAGCTTCTCAAACAGGAATTGCTACGTAAAATCTTACTCGATGTTGATGGTTGGCACGGCACTGTTGGTCCTGCAACATTTAGATTAAAATTCTCATAGATAAAACTCGAAAAAGCGAGAGCAATTCGGATTAAAAGAAGCACCAAACCACGCAAATCCTTTCACTTTGCACCTCAACTGACTCGGACATAATTCGGGCCAATCAAACAACCACTAGACAACGACTACAGGAGGAGCAGAGGAAATGGCAAGAACATTTCAAACACGCATTCCACAGGTGAAGTCTTACTCGGTGTTGATGGCTGTCGCAGCTCCGCTGCTTCTGTAACATTGAAATGCAAATTCGTGTAGAAGTGGATCGGGCATAGAAAAGTGAAAATAACTCGGATCAAAGAAGACGGAAAATTACACGAATCCTATCACTTTGCATTTAACTGAATCCGCCGGATGGGATCAAGCAACAAGTGGAGAAAAGGAAATAACAAGAGCTTTTCAAACAGGAATTACACTGTAAAATCTTACTCGATGTTGATGGTTGGCACGGCACTGCCGGTCCTGAAGTAAGTAGATAGAACATTAAAAAGTGGGATTATCCTGGAGGGCCAAAACACGGAAAACTACACGGACTCCATCCCTCTGCATCCAGCCGAATCGAAACGACGGGATCAAGCAATACATGGAGGAAAAAGAAATAGTCAGAGCTTTTCAAACAGCGATTGGAACGTGAAATCTTACTCGGTGTTGATGGTTGGCACGGCACTGCTGGTCCTGCAACATTTAAAGCGAAATTTTCGTGGATAAAACCGGAAAAAGCGAGAATAACCTGAATTGCCAAGAAATGGCGAACCACGCGAAATCCATCACTCTGCATCCCAGCTGAGTCGGACAGGTGGGGCCATTAGACACAAACAACATGTGGAGCAGAGGGAATGCCGAGAGCACGTTAAATAGGGAATCCACAAGTGAAATCTTACTCGGTGTTAAGGGGTGACTCGGCTCTGCAATAGAGAAATGGAAAGCTTTGAGGTAAATATAGAGGACACGGAAAACGGGAATAACTAAACTGTCATAAGATGAAGAATCACGAGAATCCATTCACTCTGCACCCCAACTGACTCGGGCACAATAGGAGTCAAACGCTCGTCCATTATGCAAAAAATACATGTGGAGCAGAAAAAATAGCGAGAGCATTTCAACCAAGCATTCGACAGGCAATTCCGCAGGTGTAGCCTTACTCGATTTTGATGGTTGGCACGGCACTGCCGGTCCTGAGGTAAGTAGATAGAACATTAAAAAGTGGGATTATCCTGGAGGGCCAAAACACGGAAAACTACACGGACTCCATCTCTCTGCATCCAGCCGAATCGAAACGACGGGATCAAGCAATACATGGAGGAAAAGAAATAGCCGGGGCTTTTCAAACAGCGATTGGAACGTGAAATCTTACTCGGTGTTGATGGTTGTCCCGACACTGCTGATTCTGCAACATTGAAATGGAAAGTTTTGTAGGAAGTAGGCAGGACATAAAGAAGGAACAATAACTAGGATAATCAAGAAAAACGGAAACCCAGGCAAACCCCGTCATTCTGAACACAAACTGACTCGAACAGATGGGATTCAACACACGTTCGTTGGATAAAGACAACACGTGCAGCAGAGGAGGTGACGAGAGCACTTCAAACGCATTCCACAAGGTAATCCACAAGCAAAATCTTACTCGATGTTGACGGTTGGCCTGGCCCTACTGCTTCTATAACGATAAAATGGAATGGAAATTCTTACAGAAGTAGAGGGGGCATGAAAATATGAAAATAACTCGAATCGACGAAAACGGAAAACCATGCCAGCCCTATTAATGTGGCCTGGACTGACTAGGAAAGGAAACAGCCAGAGCTTTTCAAACAGCGATTGGAACGTGAAATCAT